AAAAAGATCTTATAATTTACAATGAACAACCGTAAATTGACATTCCCAGAATTCCCTGCGTTACATTTCAAATTTGATGTCTTTTTGTTGAAATAACTATGTTTCTTAGTTTTTTCTTATCAGTTGTGTACATTAGGGTTGTATGTTACATCTAATGTTGTTCAATTAATATTTATTGCATTATTTCAGTTTCATGTGTGTTACCGTGATGGTGTTTAGTGTTTGTGTGAATGACACTGTGCACCTTCTATATATGTTATTATTTAAAAGCTGCTTGTGATGGGCTTTGGTTCATCATGTGATTTTCTCATCATCACCTGCTTTTGGTGCAGTGTATTACAAAGGTACAAAACAGAATTCAGTACTTCAATGGGCTGGTATATTAACATTATATCAGTTAATGAAATTATGTTATTTAACTGTAAATTTATGTTAAAACCCTAAAATGCTGCTACCGTATTTTTTTACGGTAAAATTCTGGCAACCACAGCTGCCATTTTTTTACCCTAAATATTACGGAATTTGTTTTACAGTGACGTAATCAGATTCCAAAAATTAAGTACTTATAATAAGATTATATCACATTTTAAAATACTCATAATCAGATTACAGTAACTTTTTTATAGATTCCATGAATGCAGATTATTCACACAATGGCAGTAAATTATTCATAATTTGATTTGCCCTAATTCTTCTTTTTCTCTCTCTCTTAAATTTTCCTTTCCCAAATTATACCACTTTTATACTTTTGGATACTTGTATTTTCTGAAGGTCGAGCACCTGTCACTGACCATTTGTTTAATTTTTTTTTTCAATATTTTGTACTGGAAAGTGCCAGATGGTAGTGTCTATAGAGAGGCACACCTGCTCATTTCTCTTTTTTGATTTATTTAACTTTCTATATTTGACAGTACTTTCTCTCTTTCACGCTTCAGAGACCAAAGCCATAGGGCAGGACGCATGGAAGATAGGAGCCATAGCAGCAGCATTCTTTCTCATTCTGCAAACTGCTGTCACCACTGTCTACATTCTGAAGTGCAGGACAAAGCCAAATAGGTTTGTGTGTGCATTGTAAGATTATAAGGATCTTTGAAGGGAGAAGTTGTTATTGGAACATCACTACAGTAACTGATGAGATATATACAGTATCTCACAGAAGTGAGTACACCCCTCACATTTTTGTAAATATTTTATTATATCTTTTCATGTGCTAACACTGAAGAAATTACACTTTGTTACAATGTAAAGTAGTGAGTGTACAGCTTGTATAACAGTGTAAATTTGCTGTCCCCTCGAAATAATTCAACACACAGCCATTAATGTCTAAACCGCTGGCCACAAAAGTGAGTACACCCCTAAGTGAAAATGTCCAAATTGGGCCCAATTAGCCATTTTCTCTCCCCGGTGTCATGTGACTAATATAGACTGTATACAGAGTGTTAATAAATACACACACAAAATCCACTCGACAGATGATTTTATCAAAAGTGACATACATAACAAGATCCCTAAGACTCAAACCTATGAGTGAACTATAAGAACATTGGAGTTTAATGAACTAACCAGTTAATTAAGAAATTAACTAGTTCTCTTCTGGGAAAAAAATATTTACAGTACATTGCACTCAACGTCATATAGCCATATAAGTTGTTTTTTATATAACAGTCATAATCCCCCCCACTGCTCCCTACAGCATCAAAACAATGACATATTGCGAGAGGGGTACACATTATAAATCTTATTGTGACTCATAAATGATTATATAACGTTTGCACTGTGGGTGAGTGTGTGGGAGAACGGGTTGAATTTAGAGATTTCTAAAAATTATAACGATCGACCACCTTCCTCTGGCTAATAATAGATTATGTATATTGAAAGAACTGCTTTAAAGATAATATTCCTATATATTTGTTAGCAGCAGTGTGGCCCCAAAGAAGCTGTGTGCTAGAGGAAACGGAGGTAAAGAAGGTGACGCAAACAATATAGATACCACCGTTCCAATCGATAAACAGTGTTGGGGAAAATTACTTTTAAAAGTAATGCATTACAATATTGCGTTACTCCCTAAAAAAGTAACTAATTACGTTACTTAAGTAATGTGTTACGTTACTTTTGTGTTACTTTCGTGTTACTTTTTAAATATGAGCAGGGCTTGATTGTTTTTAATATAAGAAGTTCTATTTATAGCAAATGTAAAAGCCCTTTCACACCAAAAAGTGTAATGAATAAACCTCAGGCTGAAGGAAAAGTAAATTCACGTCTGTACAGTAGAACGCAGGAGAAGAAACACTCTTCAGCAATAAAAAAAACAATGAAGCACAATTGTTAGTTTCTCTAAAGTCATTTTTGCTTATTAGTATGGTTGAACTGGATCATCAAAGGTCAGCAGCAAAGATATTGGTTAATAAAATGAGATTAGATACATTTGTGTTATTTAACATATTTAATTATTGCAGGTTTGCGTCATATTCTGAGTTTGCATTTCTCCGTTTTAATTCATTTGAATGTACATTCACATTTAGTCTAGAACTACAGTGACATCATGTTCACACAGCGCACACAACACCTCTGTACTCCCGATTTCTCCCAACATGGGGACAGGAGAGCTGTCAGTCAATAAATGGAAAAACAAAGTAACTGGCGTTATTTTTTTGAAAAAGTAACTCAGATATTGTCTTGTAAATTAAAAAGTAATGCGTTACTTTGCTAGTTACTTGAAAAAAATAATCTGATTACGTAACTCGCGTTACTTGTAATGAGTTACCCCCCAACACTGTAGATGAATAGTGAGTATATGACCACACATACTCACCCTGATTATGAGGAACATAAACAAACACACACACACACGCACACACATACGCATTGTGACTGATTGTTTGTGTTTGCAGAACCGCTGTAGATAACCTTCCAGAGTACTCGCAGGTCCAGCAAGAGGACGTTGCTATGACAACTATACCACTGGAGTCCACAGAGAAGAGTTCATCCTATGACCCCAGAACCTCTGTTGTTTAGCATTGCTGACCTCAAGGAGTATGATTCTAACTGTAGATGAATAGTGAGTATATGACCACACATACTCACCCTGATTATGAGGAACATAAACACACACACACACACACACACATACGCATTGTGACTGATTGTTTGTGTTTGCAGAACCGCTGTAGATAACCTTCCAGAGTACTCGCAGGTCCAGCAAGAGGACGTTGCTATGACAACTATACCACTGGAGTCCACAGAGAAGAGTTCATCCTATGACCCCAGAACCTCTGTTGTTTAGCATTGCTGACCTCAAGGAGTATGATTCTAGATCATACAAGTGTGTGTGTGTGTGTGTGTGACTGAGGGTCTGACTGTGGGAGAGTGTGTGTGTCTATATGTGTATTGAATGGTCTGGTTAGCCTTGACACCAAATGTCACTCCTGTGTTATTCTTCGTACAGTAGAATGACCGTTATTTGTGAAAAAGCAGAGTCATATCAGTTTTTAGGCTGGTTTCACAGTTAAAATATTAAAAAATTCTGGGGTAAAAAGATAAATGTACATGAAAAGCAAAACAGCATAAAATATTAAGACTTGTTTTCAGAGAATATGTTTAGATTTTAGTTTTTATTGAGTGTTTTCTTGTTTAAAACATCGAATATTTAACATGGTTTATGTTTAAAATAAACAAATAAACAAACTATTTGCCCATGGGGTAAGAGAAATAAACTTAACTCAATATTTATTTTGAGAAAAACAAGTTTTATTATATTACGCAGTTTTGCTTCTCAAGTATATTTATCTTGTTTTAGAGATATTTAGATAGTTTTACTGAAAAACACGATAAAATACTTTTTTACCAACATGTATTGTCCTGCACTCCAAAAATATATTTAGGCCTAAATTTAAGATGTGTATTTGAGTTAAATATATAAAATTCCTTTCATTTGGATTGAAAAAAAAGTAATAAACTTAATGTGATGCATATTTTTCAGTCATACATAAATTAAACAAGTAAGATTTAGTTTATTATTATTTATAAAGTTTATTGTTTTTATGTTTGCAAATATATTTTATTTAAATCCTAAAAATTAGAAAATCATATTTTCAAAATGCTATTTTTTTTTTCAATTGTCCTGCACTCCAATGTCTAAATTTAAGATTTATGTATTTGAGTTGCATATAAAATTCCATCCATTTGGATTAAATAAATAAATAAATAAGTACATTTATATATTTTATTTAAATCATAAAAATAATAAAATCACATTTTATGTATTTGTTCAAATTGCTTCAGATCAGCATAAATCTGTTAATTGTGAATATACGTACATTTATTCAGTTAAAAAGTATGAACATGGTAACAATGTGGCTATAGCTTTGGAACAATCTTTTTTTGTTTGTTTTTGTTTCCTTAATGTATGATTGGCAAATAAGCATCACATTAAGTTTATTCGTTTGATAATAAAACTGCGTAATACAAATAGATGGAAATTTCATATGCAATTCAAACACATAAATCTGAAATTTAGGCCTAAATACATTTTGGGTTTTGATTTTCTACTGTTTAGTATTGATGATGCAGAACAATAGTTACAAGTCACACAAATTTATTGCATTAAACAATTTCCATAGAAATATGTAAAACATAAAAACGTGGCAAAGTTTGGCATATGTACTAATTGAAATCTAAAGAGTTCTGTATTTAAAACGATTCTATCTTTCCTGCACAACCCTCCTGTAACAGACATGTGACATGTGTCTTTTCTTTAATAAATGGTTTGTTTCTGTCTATTATTTTGCCTGTTATGAAAGCAAAGACCATTGATCTATCAAACCAACAGACGCAAATGAAGAGCCACATTCACTGAAGAGGAAAGAGAGTTGTAGAATGTGTTTTTACCCTTTCTCTCTCTCTTCCCTCTCTCTCTACTGGCTGCTGATCACGGGATGGAGGGATCAGAGAGAGGAGTGCAGTCAGGAGGGGTGTAAGTATAAAAGAGTTGGCCAGGGGACAGCACAGGGGGGCACTACAGTACAGGAGAAAGAGAGAGTGTGAGAAAGAAAGAGTGGGGTAGAAAAGAAAGAACGGATGATATAAGGTACACTTTACTTTTATCTTTCTTTCCTGTATCGTTTTTTACTCTTTATATCACTGCAGTGGTTGAAGACGGACATTGTGGCCCACTAGTGCATGACATGGATGAATTGTTGTTTAATCAATCAGTTCAGAATTTATGATGAGCATAGATGCAGAGTTATATGCATATGACTTTTTTTGTCTTGAACTTTTTTTACATAAGAGACAAGATGACAGATCGATAAAGGAAATAGTTTATTTTATTTTGTAAAAACCATTAACGCAATCCATTTGTGTGGGTTCGCTCTGAGGACATAACTAGTCAGTGAGTTTGAGATTGTGAAGCTGGAACTGTCTATATGCTTAGATGCTTCTAAAAGGCTGCTATACAATTGCAAGCCTAGGGTACTTCAAAAAACTACAAATAAAAGATTCAGCATTAAAGATAGAGAGAAAAATCTTCTGTCGCTTTCCATTGTTTCTCTTTGACAGTAATACATTTCTTCCATTTTTCAGATCTTCTGTAGTAAGAACGAATCTTACTGTGCACATTTTTGCACTGATCTCAAAAGATTTCCCAACTTCCTTTTTTTGCAGATAATGTCCGATAAGGTTTTTTTTTTTTTCACTAACAATTAGAACCAGAGTGGGTTACTCTTTTTTTCTGAAGCAAACCATAACACTTCATGGTGAAAATTTTTTCACAATTTCCATAATTTATCCAGTTTAACTGAAAAATTCTAAATAAATGTAAATAAAATATTAATAAATAAAATGAATATTTTAATTTATTATATATTAAATGTTTTATATTTATAAAATAATAATATTAAAATTAAAATAAAAGAAAACAAAAGAAAAGAAAACAAAAGAAGCAAAAATTAGTAGTCTAGCAAAAAAAAAAATTTCATTTTTTAAAGTATACTGTAAGTATCTAACAGGCTTTTGTGGTTTATGCATAAAACAAATAATAAACAGTTTTCCAAACAGGATAAGTAAAATAATGAATTCATAATTTCTTATAAAATTTTGCTTCTACATTTATCTTGTTATATGATGTTTAGATAAAATATTGTTTTTAGTGTTCTAATTAAATAATTTGCTAATATTACAAGTATAAACTGCATGCAAAACTAAAAAGCTGATTTTTATGACTGATAGACATCGGCAGACATAACGGCCTAACTTTCACAAACTATGCACTTTTAAAGGAATATTTAACCCCCCAAATTATTTTACTCGCCTTCATGCTGCTCCAAACCGGTATGATTTTTATTCTGCCTAGCATCTAAATAAAATTGTTACAGGTTTGTAATGACATGAGGGTGACATTTTTGGGTGATCTATCCCTTTGAGCATATTTCAATGCATGTGGTCCCATTTATGCCTTTCTAGGATGTGGAAGAGTGTGTGTTTAGTGCTAATGTGCGTTGTGCTGACGCACGCGCAGTTCCCACGTCAGTGTGTGACACCAGAAGGTCTGCAGAGTGGCACCTGCTGCCCATCACCTACTGGACTGCCCAATGACGAGTGTGGATCCAGTACAGGGAGAGGTCAATGTGTGTCAATTACTGCTGACCGCCGGCCACACGGGCCTCAGTATCCTCACGATGGGCGGGATGATAGAGAACGATGGCCACTTCGGTTCTTTAACAGAACCTGTCAATGCAACGGAAACTTCAGTGGATTTAACTGTGGCCGATGCCGGCACGGTCTGACCGGGCCAAACTGTGATCAAAGAGTCACCGTGGGTGAGGACAGACATCCATACGCTTAAATCCTCATGATGAACAAGTATACAGATATGCACTGTAAATACATACAGTATGTGATGTTTGTATGCTTTGCTTTCTGAATCGTCTGGGTTTGTTTGTGTTCTCAGTGCGACGTAACGTCATGCAGATGTCTGCAGATGAGAAAAGAGCCTTTGTGGACGCCCTGGGCCAGGCTAAAAGAACTGTCCATCCTGACCTGGTCATCTGTACCCGCCGCTATCAGGAGATTTTCGGCCCGGACGGAGCAAGTGTACAGTTTGAGAACATCACCATTTATAATTACTTTGTCTGGACCCACTACTATTCGGTCAGTAAGACTTACATGGGTCAAGGCCAGCAGAGCTTCGGAGGTGTGGATTTCTCACACGAAGGACCAGGATTTGTCACTTGGCACCGGTACCACCTGTTGCAACTGGAGAGAGACATGCAGGTGACCCAAATCAGATAATGATAATGAAATACAAAACCTGTTAAATGATGTCTTGTGATTCCAAAACTTTATGACATGGAACACAAAAGGAGATATTTTAAAGAATGCATTGGTCGCTCTTTTCCATGCAAATATAGCGACTGGGCACTGGGGCTTTCAAGCTTCAAAAAACATGCAAAAAGTATCATAGAAGTTCATATGACTCATTCCCTGTATGTCAAGTTTTCTGAAGAGAAACAGGTGAACTTTACTTTGTTGACATCCGCCATACAGTGTCTCTTTTTGGGGTCCTCATGTCAGTTAAATAAGTCTGGTTGATCTGGTAAATAAATAAATATTCATTTTGGTGGGAATTATTATCAGTGGATTATGACTTTAATTTAGATTTATTTATAATACAAAGTTATGATATGACTTCAGAGACTTCAGATCACTTTTATGATGCTTTGATGTTTTTTGATGTTTGATGAAGCTCCAATAGAGAAGTATGAACAATACATTTTTTAAAATACCTTCTTATTTATTCAGTGGAAGAAAGCCAGTCATACAGGTTTGGAACGACATGAAGTTGAGCAAATTATGACAGAAATGTTATGTTTCAGTATTCATGCTTTGTTGTCACAGTTATTACATGCCAAGACAAGTTGAAAGTTATGACATAAAACATAATGATGACAATTTGAAATACAAGATAAAACATCATAACTATTAGATACAACTTTTGACTTTTGCTCATAATTATCACTTTTTATGTCACAATTTTGACTTAGTATCTGACCATTTAGATTTTTTTATCTTATAGTGACTTAGTATCTCATAATTTCGACTTTTGTATGATTAACTAAAGTTTTTTATTATGTGTCGGAAATGGGCTTCAATACTTCATTCTTATAGAAGACCTGTAAAGAAGAAAACAATTTAAATTTAAATTAAATAAATAAATAACTAAATATAAATGTAAATAAATTAAAAAAACACAAAAAGTCAAAATATACTAAGAACACCTTTACTTGAGAACTAAGATAAAACTTTTTTCTAAGATAATGTATCTTGAATTTAATTAAATGAACGTTTGTTTGTTTGTTTTTACCTCATTTGTACATTTTCCTTCTTTTATTAACATAATCCTCTAAAGTTTTGTTAGATTTACTGTATGCTCTAATCCAGAAAAATCAATCTGGCAAGTCTTATTATCTTGTGCAGTAAGCAGAAATACCAACTATTCCCCATTGATAGAAGGATCAGCTAATGGGACATGTTGGGATACACATGTGTGTGTGTGCACAGGACATGCTGGGGGATCCGTCGTTTGCCCTGCCGTACTGGAACTTTGCAATTGGAGGCAGCGAGTGTGATATCTGCACTGATGACCTGCTGGGAGCCAGAAGCAGCTTTGACACCAATGGCATCAGTTCCAATTCTGTGTTCTCTCAGTGGAGAGTCATCTGTGAGAGTGTGGAGGAGTATGAGACACTGGGGACCATCTGCAACAGTACGACACACTCACACAACATACCAGTAACACACACTGCCTCTCTATACATCACACGAACGCACATATACCCAGAATACTGCAGAAACACACGTCTAATTTTGTGTCCTCTCCCTGGTGGGAGATCTGTGAGAGTGTGGGGGAGTGTGAGACATTGGAGACCATCTGCAACAGTAAGACACACACACACACATGCATTCCAAGACCTAAGACTGCTCACATGCTGTTTGAACTAATCCTTTGAGGCATTTCGAAAGCTCAGAAGAAAGATCAAACCTTATATGGGCAAAATGATTAGAATCATGTGATTGTATTTGCAAGTGACTCACAACTGCAGACAAACTGAATAGTATAATATTCAATCTTATGATGCTTCTTTCTCACAGTCTGCGGGACCTCAGAAAGAGATTTGGTTCATAGGTCAAAGACAAACAACAAATCATGATTTAAAAAAAATCTAGTTTAAGGCATACAAAGTCTTTATTCATTTTGATTTCATAAGGTTACGAAAAACTTTTATAACATTTTCAAAATTTAAATTGAATGACTCTAAAAAAAAGTAATGTGGTGCAAATATCAAGTAAAAAAAAAAATATATATATATATATATATTTTCATAGTGTACACCAGTGTTATTTTTTTCCATTAAGATACTATTATTATTATTATTAGTTTTTATTTTTTCCAAGTTCACTTTGATTTCAGTTAAAGTTTTACAAATGTTGTGTGTTTTTTGTCTTTATATATATATATGTATTTGTATAACTGTATTGTTCACACTGCATGATTTGACAGACAAAGGTTTTTCAAATACTAAAAGCAGTGAAGCAGTTTTGTTAAAATATTAAAATATTTTTTCCTAAGAAATCTTTAATATGAGACATTTAAGAGATGGGTTTTTTTTTTATTATTATGATTCAGGGCAGTTGTATCACCCTGACATTTTAACTTCATGCCCCACATAAAATATCAAAATTAATTTTAATTCAGAACTTGCTCATTATTGAAGAGTTGTTTTCAAGTCAGTGTGTGTTTGAATTGCATTTTAATGTCTTTTTGAGACAAATTAATAGATTCTGACAAAAAAAACAAAAAACCATGTTCATCAAAATATATCAAAAGTTATCAACATTTCTCTGCCTGGTGTGTATTCAGGTACAGAGACAAATCCAATCAGAAGAAACCCTGCCGGTAATGTGGCTCGACCCATGGTTCAGAGACTACCAGATCCACAGGACGTCATTGACTGTCTCGAGCTGAACACTTTCGACACACCACCTTACTACTCAACTTCTTCTCAGAGCTTCAGGAACACTGTTGAGGGTATGATACACTAGCAAATGCAAATAAAACTACTTTCTAAAAAGGTTTTTGAAAAATGTTTGAAGCCACAGTCAAAGGAACTAGCACACCAAATAGCCACCTGCATAAAGTCTTTGCAGCATTTCGGAGACTTTTAATTGGTGTTCTTGTGTGTCATTAGGTTACAGTGCTCCCCAGGGAAACTATGACCCAGTAGTGAGGAGTCTGCACAACCTGGCTCATTTGTTTCTCAATGGCACAGGTGGACAGACTCACCTGTCACCAAACGACCCCATCTTTGTCCTGCTTCACACGTTCACTGATGCCATCTTTGATGAATGGCTTCAGAGACACACTGCTGGTAAACACACACACACACACACACACACAATGTACATACATACATACAAAAAATGAGTTTTACATTTCAGTTGCATTCTAACTAGTGATCTTTGTACTAACGCAGCAGGAACAGTGGTCTATCCTGAGGAAAACGCTCCGATTGGACACAACAGAGAGTTCAATATGGTTCCTTTCTGGCCACCAGTCAGAAATGCTGAAATGTTTGTCGCTGCCCCAGACAACCTGGGCTACACCTATGAGGTTCAGTGGCCAAGTGAGTAATCAGTGATAGCAACACAGCAAAAAAAGTATCCATAACAAGCCCATAAACTATCTAAGTATTCCAGTAACACTTTAGAATAATGATCTGTCATTAATAGGTAAACTATGCAGGAAGTAACGCAGAACTAATGAGTAGTACTACACTAAAACTTCAGTTACTATTAAATAAGAACAGAAACGTCAACAGTTGTCTTTTTTATTCTCAACGTTGACTTAAAATGCATTACTAATTACTCTAGTGTTACCTAGTTACTCTTCAAGAACTACTAGTGATCTGAACCATTATTTTAAAATTAAAAAAAAAGTTCTTCACCTTAAAATAACGGTCCAGATAATTACTAGTTAATGCAAAGTGATTAAGTAACACTAGAGTAGCCTAATTAGCGATTAGTAATTCATTGGTAATTAATTGGTGAAAATAATAACTATTTCGTAGTGAGGCCAATCTCATTCAGTAATTACTGACTGCTTATTAAGGAAGTATCTCAGTCCTAAATTCACTATTACTTACTGATTATTTAGGCTTGTTTGGATATTAGTTAATATTAGTAGCTGAAGTGTTAATGTAGTTCACCCATTAGTCCTGCATTACTTCCTGCATAATTATCTGTTAATGATAGAACATTATTCTAAAGTGTTACCAATATTCCTTTCTGGAGAACTTTATTAGTATAACTGAACTTAAAAGTTAAAGGAATCGTTCACCCAAAAACTCATCATTTCCTCACATCTTTTTTCTTCTGTGCAACACAAAAGTAGATCATTTAATTAATATCCAGCTGTGTGAATTCAGTATAAAGGCAATACATTATGATTCACTTCAACACTTAATGAAGAACCCAAAAATACAAGTGTTCTGTTCGGGTTTCAGCAATTTTAACAGTAAAATTGTTGCAGAGGCCATTGATTTCCTCCTTTGAATTTGTCTGACGGTGTCAGGTTCGCCCACTCTTCAGTACATTGTTCTTTTTATAACAGAAATCTCTGGATATTTAACACATAATTACTTTAAAGACATGAATTTGTAATATCATTCGTACATTTTCATACAGTCTGCTTATTCCCCCACTCAGGGTGGCCCTTTATGTTTATCATTTTTCCAAAAATCTCATGTTTTCATACAAATGACATTGTAAATTCATACTAAATCTCCACCTTGTAAAATATTTATGTTTTTTCATGAGATCAGATTGGATTTGGTAGAAATCATGCTAAAGAGATTACACATTAATATTGAGCCAATGGGATCACTTGGGGTCCTAATAGAGACCCAATTTTTAGGGAGGACCCCATTTGTCCTGACACTGGTTTAAAGGCAGTGTCAGGGATCCATTTCTGCCACCTACTGGACTGGAGTGTGAAGTGCACACAGGAACTCAATGGCAATTTTACTATGCATTTAAAAAATGTTATTCACCTTTATACATTTGTGGTTTGATATAAACACAAAATCTCTCTCTTTCTCCCTCCTTAGCTCGGGCATACACTATTTCAGAGATCATCACCATAGCGATTGTTGCCGTGGTGCTTATTGTGGCTGTGGTGGGCGGAGTCATCGGGTGTGCTGTTCGGGCACGTTCTTACCGCTCGGCTGAGGGCCTGGAGCCGCTGCTAGGGGAACAGTTCAGGCGTTACTCAGAGGATGAGCGGCATGCTTCTCAGTCTGTTGTGTGATTGAGAAACTAAAAAAAATTTTGCACTGTGCATCCACACTGTACTGGAGGAGTTTGAATTATGAATTATTATCATTCAAAAGCATTATAAAAGTAAAAGGGGCTCAATTTATGACTATTTATTATCAGATTTTTCATGTCCAGTGAGACACGGCGAATACAATCATATGCGCACTTAAAACACATTTAAATGAGTTTATGCACTGCTTATGAATGCCCTATGAACACATGACTTACGGTTATTGTACAGTGTGGCCTATTTTATATTACTCTGATATAAAAGTTTTAAAATTTTGATTTTGTGTACTGTACACTCAATTGTATTTAACAGTGCAGATGATTCGGCAGCAACTGCAATAGAGACAAATTTCAAGAATATTGAAACAAGAATATTATAAAATAAAGATTTTAAGCACATTTTATATATATTTTACTAAATTATTATTTAAAGGAAAAAAACTCCTCCTAGTTACCATAAAATAACATTCCTGATAGTGTCCATACACAGGCTCAAACTTTTATATGACATGGTTTGTGTAATGCCATAACAGTGTTATGATTAATAATCAAATCCATCAGAACAAAATTGCAAGAGTGGAGAGTAAAAAGTGTCTTGGTGAAATAAAGTGGGACAACAGACCCTGGCAAATAATTTAGCAATTTTGGAACAGTACACTTTTCTGTAATTAACATTCAGTAATTAAAATAATAATTAAGAACTAGGTTTGTGTAATTAATTTGTATTCTAGAGGCTCATGTTTAAGAGGCGCATTTTCATTTGCCAAAGATGAATTAGATGTGATCATATCCACTGTGATGCATGATTATGATGCAGATGACAACATTTGGAATGACAGCTACCCTTGTGGCAACTATTAACATTTGATTTTCTGCTGATATTTAAAGGCCAATCAATCATGAAACATGTTCGTCCCATTTCACCCTATTTACAAAGAAAAGACATCAAATCAATTCTATTTCCTCTCAGTTGACCTTGCTGATTTTTACACCACTACAGTGTGGCAATAATGACCAAATCAGCAAGCTGTATCATGTCATGCATGCCACTGCTACTTAGTCGTTTCCTGAGACTACTACTACTAATAATCATAATAATGATAAAAGGAAGAACTTCACTGCACTTAATGGGCATGTTGAGAAAAACCGGGCAGTTTCAGACATATTACAGTAACACAGGTGTTCAGATCCCATTCCATCACTTTAAACCTACATCTGGTCCCTCTGCACTGCTGCCCCCTAGTGATACAAAAATAACTGCATGTTTGAATGTAACATTTTCATTTTAGTTCAGGGATGCTCTATTTTTTTCCCAGGAAATCTCCCATCTCACAAAGTTCACTTCCAAACCTTATCAAACACACCTGAACCAGCTAATGAAGTTCCTCAAGAACACAGAAAAGTGTGTTGGAACAGCTGGAACTGAACTTTGCGGGAACTGGTTTGAGCACCCCCTGCTTGAAACGATTTGGTACACTTTGTCAATCACCAAAAGAGATCTTCAACCCTCATTGCTTATGAAATTTAAACTAATGAACATTACATGATCTGATAACTTTCAGCACAGACAATGCTAAAAACAAAATTAAAAGAATACATGTCAAAATATTTAAAAAAGGTAGCAAAATTATTATTATTATTTTATTATTTAGTAAAATTGCTAATAATTTTAGTAAAAAAAACAAAACAAAGTGTAAATGGTGAGCAAAGAAAGCAACGAAGAAAGAAGAATAAGGACAAGCACAGATCTTACTTTTCCTTTTGAAAATGCTTTATTAAACTACCTCTATAAATACAACAACGCCAAAAAGTTTTAAAACAAACAATGCGAGATAGAAAACAGTTCTAAACAGATCTAAAAAAAAAAAAAAGGAAAAGATATTATGGCCAATAACATTCTACATTATCTAAATGTCCTCAGCCGAGGTCTTTTAGTAACAAGAAACAAGTCTAACAATGAGAGAGAGAGAAAGAAAAAAAAACGCTACACATGTAGTGTTTATGAAATGATTGCAAAAGAAAGCGTGTTTTGCCAATGAATGCATGATCAATTTGGGCCAGTATTACTCCACACTGGCAACTTACAGCAACATTTATATATCCACACATGCACACACTCGCATTAGTTGAACACTTTGGCAAAAAAAGAAGTTTTTGTTGTTGTTAAACTCTCTAAAGCACATAATAAGATGGAAAAATCTTCTTAAAATATATTATAGCATTTCCTCTTACTTCATACACAAAAACATTGTACTGTATATATTAAATATATCCTGACTGCTTCGCTCATAATAAAAGATTAGATAACAGACAGAGAAAAACTACTGGGGATGGTTCACTTTTCTCAAAAAAACACAGATATGCCATATTCTAGATGATCGCAGCAGTGTGTAAAAATGTGTCACTAGCTTACGTGATGTGACTTGCATGGATTGTCATTCTTTGTTTTGGTATATCGTGAAGTTTTCCCCAAACTTTCACTCAAAAAAAAAGCAGGCTATACTTAATAAAACATCAACTCTGTTAGAACATGAAACACATGAAAGCATAATACAACATAAAGCAGCACTCTAACACTCAGAGCCCCCATAGAAACAACAGTATAACACACAAAAAAAGAAAAAACTTGACTTTCTGAAAGAAATTAGGACAGAAGAGGCACTGTGGTATAACAAACAGTGTTTAAGAGGTCACTTTACAGACAGCAGTCTGAATAAAGGCACATGTGACATACGCAGTCCTACAGAAGGCATAGTGGTGGCATACAGCAGTCTTCAGGAGGACACTGATATGACATACAGCAGTCATTGAAAAGACAATGAGGATATTAACAGGTTCTCTGAGCTCCCTGGTTTCAGTTTGGTCCAGTTCATTTCAGTTCTAGGAGTATCAAAATACCCCTAAAAAGTCAAAAGTGCCTGCTCACACAGCATATACATACACAAGAACTTCTAACACCCTAAAATGTTTAAGTGCACCTCAGAACAGTCATCACTGCTAACACATACCATACTACAGTAGCACAACTTGGGAGTGTGATCTACAAAAATGCAGAACTACAAAAAACTAAAACAAAACTCTATGGACTGTCTGCTGTCTCTACACACATCTATAGGAGGAGTTCGGAGGGGGGATTGAGAGTATTGTGCCATTAACCTGATTTTATTCTGCAACTCAAGGTCTGCGAGTCAAGACCGTTAATAAACAACATGAGCATAATTGGTTCAATGGTAAATGGGACAGTACTTCAGGTGTAATTTGTATTAATGGCACAAAAGCGGATAAGATGGAACCTGTGTTCCCCTAATGAGGCACATAAGACTTCACAGGACTGGATGCTGGGAATAGCAGTAGTGGTCTGAAAAAAATAAGGGTTGGTCATCAACTAACACAACCCGTAAAAGTAAGCAGAACTAAGTCATCATAAATAATGCTGCATCTTCAACCCAGCTACTTTTTTGTCAGTCCGGTTAGTGCATTTAAAACACATTAAAGGGATAGTTTACACAAAAATGAACATTCTAAAAGTCACTGAAAATCATTCCAAATCTGTACGACTTTCTTTCTTCTGCAGATATTTAGAAGAATGTTGGTAACCTAAACATTTTGGCGCTGCCAGCATGGCCGTGTTGGCGTGGGTAGCGATAGGCATGTAGCCGGCTCCATACAGACTGGCAGCTGCAGCCGGGAGCCTCTGGACATTGTGAGCCATAGCATAGACGGGGGTTATAGGACGACCCTGTGAGGTAAAGAGAGAGATTGATACACCGTATTCTAACTAGACATGATAAAGCAATAAGCAATAAAGAGTTTTTGACAACGACCATGATGGTGGGTCGCTTTGTTTCTATTTCTGCAGTGTCATTCAGGGTAGCGCCATCTAGAATTCAGGGTAGCGCTGTCTAGAGTGAAATCGCATTGGTCCAAAACAGAAGATGTGAATGGAGGGTTTTTCATTCCCTGTTCACAGATGAAATAAAACCTGCTGCAATTTCCCCCCATAGCAAAATTAGCATATTAAAGGGTAAGTTTGCTGATTTTTAACGTCGGAAAATGTCGGTAGTACTACAAGTAAATGAACGCCATTATTTGTCAGCAAAAGTTCACCACTGATGCATTTGACGTAGACTTTTGATAGCTCCAGGGCTTCTGTGTAAAGTACAGATTTGTATCCACGCTCATGGATAATCTGATCGAGCCCAGTGCATTATGGGTCCTTCCTTTATTCACCATATCGCTTTTTCTGTTTTCTCTAGTCCTGTTTTTTTCTTACTCATAATGACTGTATGAACACAAGATCCATACAGATTTCCATCCAGTTGTGAAGGCGATATTCAATATATGACAATAGGATTTTGACTAGATGTTGTGTATTTTTGGTAAGTATTGGTATTATTTTTCGAATAATATTTTAACGTGGTGAATTCTTTAATTATGGGCTGTGGTAACATATTATGCTTGTCAGGATTTGTATTTTAAGAATTGGCCGCCTTTCAAATCATGAGTTGGAATTTGAACTGAACAGAAAGTTTAATTGGAATTTGAACTGGAATTACAGGAAGTGGAATTTACTGAATTACAATTCAAAGAAATGAAATGGCACACAGATATATTTGTGTCTTTCTGCAAGGCCTATAAAACCTCCAAAATTAAAAACTATTTGAACTTTTAGACAAGGCTTTTCAAAGTTTGTCTTGACGACAAACTTCCTTTTCTAGTTACATTTATTGCAGTTACGTGAATTTGTAAACATTTCAGTTCTTTTAATTCTACTTCCTTTAATTCAAATATTCGCAACTTAAATTCAGATCTCATGATAGCAGTATTAGATGGATTTTGAAGTGTAAGAAAACACTAACGCTCCAGGCATAATCATGCTCTACATAGCTGTACAATAATCCAAAATGTTTTCATTGGCTATTAATGTGTCATACAGCGCAGCATTTTCGCTTTCAGTGTGAATACGCAAATAAGCTCATGGTGTTAGAATTATCTGAGTGTTATAATAACTGTAAATTGTCCCATCTGCTCAGGTGTAGGTGAGTACCTGGTAAGGCGGTGGTGTGGAGACAGCAGGTATGCCCGCCGCAGTGGCCGAGGCAGCTGTGGGGTCATGCTGGAGGGCCATAGGGTTTATCAGGTGCTCCACTGGGTGCATCTTCCCTTCGTCCATTAACTTAGTTGCAGGGGCAGCAGAAAACACAGCAGGGTACTGAGCACCGAGTGCTGGAAGAGCCACTACACATATATACATACAATCAGAACAATATGGTGAACATTACATACAAAACATGAACATTATGTAAACTGTGTACTATATGTGAGGTAACATAACATTTTCAATATGAAATGAGGCAGTATAGAAATGCAGGTAAGTGAAAGATAAGTCAGAAAGTGCAAGAATGGAAAGACTGAGACCTACAAAACCTGTCCTCTTTTACAAGTGTATGACTCAGCTTAAGATTAACGACAAAAAACACACCCACACGCAGCCACGTACGCATTGGCTTTCACACACACATACATTGTTTCCATGTACAAAAACTCTTTTCATTCCCCACATTAATTTAGACTTAGGATCAGTAGATTTAAGTGACGTCAGAATACTCCAGTCAGGAGTTTTGCAGATCTCAGATCAGAACTGTGCAAGATCAGTTAGTTTCGACACAGAGCAGCCGATTAGTAAGAAAAGAAAGTCATTAAGAACCTTGAACTCAATTCCCAAACAAACTCTCGCAAAGCATTGTTATTTGTGGTTTAGTTCCTCTGTTATGTTAATATCCTTAATAACAGTCTATTCAGATGACTGTACATATGTAATATTTAATCTGGAGGTATATACAAATTTGAGAGCTTTTTGAGAATTGCTTGAACATTGTATGTATAATTCAAAGAAGGCATTTAAGCAATAAAATCGAAATCAAAAGCCTGCTTACTGGAGTAAGCCGTGACAGCGATGACAGCTGTCATAAAGAAAGCAAGTTACTGTTCCACTCCAGGCCAGTAGGGGCAGTGGAATCTAACAAATTTATCTTTATATTTTCTTGAGTAACCCCAGTTTACTTGACTGCAATTTTTAAATGTTAAATGTAACACTAACTGGTGGATACATTTCAGTACTAAATAACATTAGTAAATTATCCAGAAACTTCCATTTCAGAATGAACTTTTAGATTCTGTTTCTAGATCATTTTAGATTCTGCCTCTACTGGATGGAGTGGAGCACAGCTGAGCTTAATTCTGTATGTATGTGATTTAATTTCACACTGACTTGTGCCAGGCTTGATGCCCACTGGGTTCACAGCTGCCAGCTCTAGATTGGGCATGATCTCGTAAGGTCTGTCCAGCAATTTGCCCTTTCCTTCATGGTAGCGGCTGTAAATGCCTCGGCCAGCTGAATAGCCACCAAGGTATGAGCCGCGGGGCCCTGGGCCCCTATTACCGGCCCCAGCACGGCCACGGCCTCTTACAGTACCTGCTTGAGATACAAATGAAAGGAGGTGCTGTTCAGGTACAGAACCACAAGGAGGTACATACCTGTGTATAAGTACTGGTAACCCCATTGTTTGAGGTTGAGCAGACATTTGAAATAAAGTAATTAGCTTTCTCTGTCAGCTTTCTATTCAGGTTGCATATATCGAGAAATGGGTGTGGCACTATCACTCTTCAGCATTCTAATTCAAACTGCTGTCAGTGTGAACGCCTCTTGAGATATTTGTAATTACCCACCATTCTTTGAGATGGGAGTGGTGGTGGTGTTTGAGCAAAGTTGAAATTAAAAGTAAAGATAAAGTTTTGTTTTAATCAAACCAAGGATGACAAAACACATCTCAGATTGAGTATGCAATCACAGTTCTTTGTTCAATTTGAAACTCAACCCAAAACCACAAGCATTTGTAATTGATGATTATGGGTTAGGAAATGTAATAATACCAGATTCCCATCATTAGTTTCAGTATCATACATTTTGGGGATCTCAGCTCTTCAGCCAAAAACAATCTCAAAATGCATGCCATCTAGTGGCCATGCTAAAGATGTGATTAGCAACAAAGAGGGCAGAGCTTCTTGTTTTGGGAAGTATCTTATAAAGCAGTTGTTCTCAACTGGTTTCATTTCTGGATTTTACATTCGATTTAAAGTAGCCGACACAGTACCGAAGCTGTTTATTGTAGAAAAGTACGAATTTTTCCTTAAGATCAAAAATCATTAATGTTAACATGAGCTAATTAGCAAAATTATGACAAGGCTGAATAGGACAATTGATTAGGTTTCTAAATGTTTCTTGAAATTCAATGGAAGGCAACCTCTTGGAAGCCAAGAATTCACAGCTTAAAAGACATTTTTGTCCAACCAAACCATTTTTATCTTCATTATATTATACTCCATTGAGACAAATCATAATTGATGAAAGTACAATTTTTCACTTTTATTGTGTTTTTAAAAAAAAGTGTCTTTGTAGCTCAGAAAGAGGATAAAAATATGTATGATTTTCTGAGAAACATAAACGTAGTAAATGTAATCAGTCACAAATTGTCCAAAAATACTTAATATGTACAGTCAAAAATGAAACAAAGAAAATTATCACATGAATACTACAAGATTATTGTATTACAGTATTACAAGACAATCTTGGTTTTTCTACTTCAAATCTGACTGAAAATTGAAAATGGAATTTTCTACACTAATTTTCAGTGTAATTGGTAATGATGTACAATTATTCAAGTACCCTACACCCCTGAATGCAGTCTGGGTCATATTTGTTTGTTTTTATGGACATGGCTTTTCATGACTTTTAGCGATTTTTCACTTTTATTGTGTTTTTAAAAAAAAAGTGTCTTTGTAGCTCAGTAAGAGGATAAAAATATGTATGATTTTCTGAGAAACATAAACGTAGTAAATGTAATCAGTCACAAATTGTCCAAAAATACTTAATATGTACAGTCAAAAATGAAACAAAGAAAATTATCACATGAATACTACAAGATTATTGTATTACAGTATTACAAGACAATCTTGGTTTTTCTACTTCAAATCTGACTGAAAATTGAAAATGGAATTTTCTACACTAATTTTCAGTGTAATTGGTAATGATGTACAATTATTCAAGTACCCTACACCCCTGAATGCAGTCTGGGTCATATTTGTTTGTTTTTATGGACATGGCTTTTCATGACTTTTAGCATAGTTTTTTCCCACCAGTTGAGAAACACTGTTTTAAAGGATGTGCCCATATGAAAGCTCTGGGTTAAAGGGGACAGTTTTAACATTAATTGGTTTGTACAGATCAAGTCTCATTACGTGTGTGAATATGGACTGCAATGCAAGAGAGAGTTGGAAAACAGTCTAGTTTCCCAATTATATTTAACAGCATGATACTCAAGTACATATAGACTTTTTTCTAATCAAGAATCACATTTCCCCCACTGTTCAATCTGATTTGAGAAAGTAAAGAGAAAAATAAAGGTTTCCAACCTTTGATGAAGTACTCTCGGTTGGGTCCAATGAGTGTGTTGTAGGGATAGCCGTAATAGGTGAGTGTATATGGGTCACACTGATACACGTAACTTTGTTGGGTGTTGTCGGTAGTGGTCGGAGCCGCTGTTGCCTTCGATGCTTTCTGATAGCGGGTGTACTGCTCCTTATCCACAGGCTTGGCCAGGGTCACTTCAATACGGGAACCTTCGATCTCTGTGCCGTTCAGGTTGTCCATTGCAACCACAGCATCTTCTCGACTGGCGAAGTGAACAAAGGCGTAGTCTCGGATTTTTTTGACACGTTCCACGCAGCCAGGGTTGAACTGGCCGAAGGTTTGGCGTAGAATATCCTCACTGGTCTCTATCATCAGGTTCCGCACGTACAGAATCTTCACTGTTTCCATGACGTCCTCGTCAACGTCAATCTCAGGTTCTGCCCAGTCAACTGCAATCTGGTGACCCCAGAGCTATATACACATACACAGAGAAACAGATATGCACACAACAGGTTTAAAGTAAGGGAGATGTATTCACTAAATGTCACGGATAAAGGAATAGTTCACCTAAAAATAAAAATTCTTGTTATTTATTTACCCTCATGTCATTCCAAACACCTCCTATGCTGCTATTATGCTGCACACTTCATTATTATATGTAAAGCTTCAAAAAGCGCAGATGAATATGATAAAAGCACAATATAATCAGTCCATATGACTTATGAGCTATATTACAAGTCTTCTGAAGCCATTCAGTAGATTTGTGCGATGAACTGAGTGAAACCGAAGCTACTAATAAAATCTTCCCAAAGCAGTGAGTCTTTGAACTAGGAATTAGATCATTCACATTTGTTATTTAATATGTCAGTCTGACTTGCAACAAACCGTTCTTTGAAAATAATCATCTTGAAATAATTATTTGTTCTTGAATCTGACTCATTTGACTCAATGGTCCGTTAGTTATCAGCTAACTAGGTGAAAAAAATACTAGAGAAAAATGTCAATTTCAGTCTGTTCCTTTATCGTCTGACTTCAGAAGATGTGGAATATAGCACATGAGTCTTATGGAATACTTTTATTATGCTTTTATAGTGTTTTTGTTCCTAATTATAGTGTTTTTAACATAGTAAGCATGGTCTAACACTTTTGTTGTATGGAAAATAGCTGAATAGTGTGAATAGTCTTCAAAAAATTCTCCTTTTCTAAGTATATAATGACAGAATTTTTTAATTTTGAATGAACAGTTCCTTTGATTCCAGTGGAAAATGGTGTTAACCTGAATTCGTCCTGGCATGAGCTTTCTTCTGGCCATAGCAGCAGCACGGTGAGACTCGTACTCTACAAAGGCAAAGCCACGATTCTTCATCTTATCCGCAGCACTCGCATACACAATCACATCCAGCACCCCCTCCGTCACCTTGGAAACTTCCTCCAGGATCTCCTCACGCTTCTTGGTTTTTGGGATTCCGCCAATGAAGAGGCGGCAGTTATCTACACTAGAGCACACACCTAACAACCTTCCTGGACGAATTTCGAAGTTATTGAGTTCACGAACTGCTCGCTTAGCTTCATGCTTCTGCGTGAACATGACGAATGCGTAACCGCGGTTCTTCCCGTCAAAATCCATCATTAGGCGCATCTCATAGATCCGTCCAACAGTCTCAAATACTGGCACCAGCTCGTCCTCGTAGACATCACGTGGGATCTTACCCACAAAGATTTCACAGCCACGTGGAGGGGAGGGGCCTTGCCAGCCTGGTGGCGGGCCGTATTTGCGCTGTCCATTTTCTTGCACCATACCATAACCTGACTGCTCCATCAAGGCCATAAGTGCAGCTTCATTGGGGGCCCCAGCCACTCCCTCAGGGATGGCGTCGTGATGCTGCGGATGCCCAGAGGAGGCCTTAGAAGAGGAGGAAGGGCTTGGGTTACTCATAGCAACGGCAGAGGCGGAGTCTTCTGCTGTCATTCTGAGATAAGCATCCAATCAGGATTGGAGTCTAAAAAGAGACAAAAAATGTCATCTGGTCAGTATGTGTAAATGACTTGTATTGAAAACAAACTATGAACATCGCCACATAATTAACTAATACATTTATCTCCATAATTCAATTTTTAAATTTTTTTTTTTTTTCTGTATTGAAACTGGAATCCCAGTGCCTGATTTTAATTAGGGATGTAGCAATATTAAATTTAGATGATAGCAAAGATTATCTAAATGTAAAAATGGACAAAATAAGCATGTACAATGTAATATCCAATATCTCTGATATATATATATATATATACACACACTTATCAAATATAATAAATTGTAAGTCCTTTTTTCTCTGTATAACACACACACAGACAAAATATAAATCCTCTTCTACACCTAATGCTGCCTAATAAACCTCACTAAGCCGCATCTACATTCTTTAGCATGGAAAAAATCTCCAAAATGCCTAAATCCTACAGTCTAGAATTTTCCATAAGCAGAACACAGATGCACTGAAAGTAAACGACAAAATCTTTGACAAGGAAATCGTGTTTGACATAAAGACATTACGTTTTTGTAGGGAATTAGTGTGTTTACTGAATAGTGAACATTATATAGTATACTGTATATATTCATTCACACTGTTTTGCTGTTAGTTGGCTCTAGTCAGTAATTTAGCAGTTAGCCGGACCTTGCTGCCCGCTTAGAGGGTAAGGTAGTTAGGTTGTGTAGCAATGAAACCATGGCTGACCCACACACAGCTTATCCTGGAGCACACAACTAAGTTCACACAACTCACACAGACACAAAACGCATGCAAACACAAATAATACAGGACATACAGTAACAACAAAGGCATAAAGGTTACAAATTAGTATTTTACTCCAGGAATAAAGTTCAAACAAATGAACAACTACATGCACCGTGCTTAAGTTGGTACCTGGTGTTTTCATGATGAGTTCTAAGAGGCTTGCTGAAGGAGCATGTGACTGTGACTGTGAGGTTGGAATAACAGGCAACTCAGCAGTACTAAACCAGAGCTCTGGCACACACACATCCACAAACACTTCCTCATTCACACGCTTACACACACACACATATACTGAAAATCAGTACATGTGTGGCTCAAGGCCAAGCTGAAACAGGAAGAAAAGCAAACTGACTAATCAAAAGCCATGAGGACCAGGTCAAACAACTAATAAACATTATTTTAAAAAAATACATCTGTAGAGATGTATGTTTCTATGATCACTCATTTGAAAGTTTAAAAAGGGGGACGGTGGCAACAACAGCCAACTCAGCCTGAAATTAAAGGGTTAATTTGATAAAACTTAAATTATAATAATAGTAAAAAAAAAAAAAGCATATTCTGGAGGACAACTTACTTCCTAAACGAACTGCTGGTTGTCAGTTCATTAAATTGGGGATAGACTCTTGGTGGAAGTGGGGTCAGTGGAAGAGTGCGGATGACAATAAAAGACGATTCAGCAGAATTGGGGAGGAAGGAGCGGTCGAGAGAGAGAAAGAGAAGAAATGATGGATCTCTGCCAGAAACTAATCGAGTAAAGAGAGAAAGAGGGCAAGGCGAAAAATGTGATTCAGCAAGTAGCAAGTAGCAGTAGTAGGCTATAAGTGGCGATATAAGCCGAGCTGTCAATTTCATGCAATTAATTGTAGCACGATAAAAAAAAAGAAGAAGAACGTAAAAATGATGTCCCCTGGCTCGTGCGTAAAGAGCACGAAACATGAGACGCAGTGATGCTGAATGAAAAAAAACCGCAGTATCTCAAGACGCGTTTTTAAAAGTTTAACTTATTTAACTTGTTCTGAAAATACGCCGTTCTTGCGCGAGATGCGAGCGCAGCTGTCTGACGCACGGAGACGACTGTGTGCCTCTCCGGCCACTCCAACCGAAGCATCCATTTACGCTCAAACTTCTGTAATGTACAGAACGCAGGGGTTCAGATTATTACCTGTTTTGAAAACGCAGAGCTCATGCATCAGCTGCATCAAAACGCACGGCTGTGGACTGCAGTGACAGGTTTTTCATTTGATATGGCGCAAGTTGTCGTGCTTTTCACCTAGCAAATACTTCTCAGCGTAGTTTTTTTTTAATCAGTTTCTGTGTACGTTAAAGTTATTAGCTTTTGTTGTGACAGCTTCCCGGTTAGGGTTGTTAATTAATTAATCGCCGTATTATGTAATTGATTCAGTTAAAATATTGATTGAACGTTTTAATATTAAAGGGGTCCTATTATGCTCTTTTACAAAGTCTTGATTAGCTGCATCAAAACGCACGGCTGTGGACTGCAGTGACAGGTTTTTCATTTGATATGGCGCAAGTTGTCGTGCTTTTCACCTAGCAAATACTTCTCAGCGTAGTTTTTTTTTTATCAGTTTCTGTGTACGTTAAAGTTATTAGCTTTTGTTGTGACAGCTTCCCGGTTAGGGTTGTTAATTAATTCATCGCCGTATTATGTAATTGATTCAGTTAAAATATTGATTGAACGTTTTAATATTAAAGGGGTCCTATTATGCTCTTTTACAAAGTCTTTATTTTGTTTTGGGGGTGTACTAGAACAGGCTCTCATACTAGGTTGTTCGAAAAACACATTATTTTTCACATATTTTACATTCTTACAACACCTCTCTCCCCAGTCTGGCATGAACGGCTCGAATAGTTCCTGTATCAAATGAAGGCCCGCCTTCTGAAATACGAAATGTGCTGTGATTGGTTAGCTGCGCCAGTGTGTGCTGTGATTGGTTAGCTGCGCCAGTGTGTGCTGTGATTGGTTAGCTGCGCCAGTGTGTGCTGTGATTGGTTAGCTGCGCCAGTGTGTGCTGTGATTGGTTAGCTG